ACAGCAGTTCACATATACTTTGTCTCATGTCATTGACCAAAATTTACAATGCAGCAGCTCCCCTCCCACTTCCTCCCCATAGTTACCTCCTCCCAGTGTCTATCCCTTCATACTCTTCGAGAGGCCCATTGTCTGCCAACCCTGTATATGATCTTGGATACACTCTCCATTTAGACAGATACGTATTCATTTATGTCAAGTAATTTGGAAGACAGCTACATGGCCAACTGCCTGGAAGAGATCCATATTTGTGCACATCCCAAAGAAAGATGATCCAATAGGATGTGGAAATTATCAAACAATATTCTTAATATCACACACTAGTAAAATTTTGCTGAAGATAATTCAGAGATAGTTGCAGCAGTACATCGACAGGGAACTGCCAGAAATTCAAGCTGGATTCAGAAGAGGATGTGGAATGAGGGATATCATTGCTGATGTCAGATGATGAATCTTGACTGAAGGCAGATAATATCAGAAAGATGCTTACCTGTGTTTCATTTACTGTGCAAAGGCGTATGACCATGTGGATCATAGCAAGTTATGGATAACATTGCAAAGCATAGGAATTCCAGAACATTTATTTGTGCTTATGTGGAACTTGTACATAGACTAAGGGGCAGTTGTTTGAATAGAACAAGGGGATACTGCATGGTTTAAAGTCAGGAAAGGCATGTGTCAGGGTTGTATCCTTTCACCGTATTTACTCAATCTTCATGCTGAGCAAATAATCCAAGAAACTGGACTATCTGAGGAAGAAAACAGCATCAGACTTGGGAGAAGACTCATTAACAACCTGTGATATGCAGATGACATTTTTCTTGCTGAAAGCAAAGAGGACTTGAATCACTTACTGATGAAAATCAAAGACTACAACCTTCAGTATAGATTACACCTCAACATAAAGAAAACAAAATTCCTCACAACTGAACCAATAAGTAGCATTATGATAAACCGAGAAAATAATGAAGTTGTCAAGGATTTAATTTTAATTAGATCCACAATCAATGCCCATGGAAGCAGCAGTCAAGAAATCAAACAACATATTGCACTGGGCAAATCTGCTGCAAAAGACCTCTTTAAAGTGTTAAAAAGCAAAGATGTCACTTTGAGGACTAAGATGAGCCTGACTCAAGCCATGGTATTTTTAGTCGCCTCATATGCATATGAGAGCTGGACAGTCAGTAAGGAAGACTGAAGAAAAGTTGATGCATTTGAGCTGTAGTATTGGTGAAGAATACTGAATATACCATGGACTGCCAGAAGAACAAACAAATCTCTCTTGGATGAGCTACAACCAGAATGCTCCTTAGAAACAAGGATGGCAAGAACTTCGTCTCACATACTTTGAACGTGTTATCAGGAGAGACAGGTCTCTGGAAAAGGACATTATACTTGGAAAAATAGAAGGTGAGTGAAAAAGAGAACGACCCTCAGTGAGGTGGGCTGGCAAGTGGCTGCAGTAACGGGCTTTATGAGGACTGGCAGTGTTTACTCTGTGGCTCTTAGTGTCTCTATGAGTTGGAGCCAACTTGGTAACATCTCACAACCACCACAGTGAAGACAGACACATTCTCCCTCCTCCTATCTCTTTTCCCACATTCTCATTCTCTGGTGGGAGCAGCTTTGTTTTGACCACAGCAGGTATTTTGAGTCTGTGCTCATGGGAGACTCCAGGTCCTCCCTCCATGGGAACCTTAGCTCAGGGTCCCCAGAATGTCCCAGGACCCATGCCCCCCTGACAGCTGATGCCATCTGCAGACATCGACGAGTGTGGGGAGATCCCGGCCATCTGTGATGGTGGTGTCTGCATCAACCAGATCGGGAGTTTCCGCTGCGAGTGCCCCATGGGCTTTGATTTCAACAGCTTCCTGTTGGTCTGCGAAGGTGCCGTCCCACCCCTCCATTCTCAGCCCTGCCCCCACCCCACCCTAGGGATCGGCTCAACCCCCACTGGGGTCTGGGTGGGATGCTGGGCTCCCCTGTGCTCTCTGGCAAGTCACTTTAATCCTAGGAGCCTCACTTTCTCCATTTGTAAAATGAGGCTAACTCCTTTCCAAGGCCCTCCATCCACATGTGACTCTCCAAGCTCTGGTGGCATAGTGCCTAAGGCACTTGACTGCTAACCAGAAGGCTGGCGGTTCGAATCCACCAGCCACTCCTCAGAAGGAAGGTTGGGCAATCTACTTCCATAGTGATACCACTTCAGAAACCCAAGGAGGGGTCGCTATGAGTCACATCCAGCTCGACAGCAATTCATTGTCTTCTATGCACTTCTGACTGCTTCCAGAAAGACCACCTGCTCTGAAGTCAGGGGGCTGGTTTTCGGATGGCAGCAAGGCTTCTCCTTCACCCCCACTTCTGTTTGGTTTCCTGTCTTCTCCAGACACAGATGAGTGTGCGAGCGGGGAGAGCCCCTGCCAGCAGAACGCCGACTGCGTCAACATCCCAGGCAGCTTCCGCTGCCAGTGCACTCGTGGATACAGGCTCTCACCTGGTGGGGCCTGTGTGGGTGAGTGGTACCCCTGGGAAGGTGCAGGGAGGGAGGTGAAGGGACAAAGCCTGGCTCTGCCACCTGTTAGAACTCGGGAAGGCTCTACTCTTCCCAGCTCACTCCTCGCTGCCTCATCAGACCAGCCCAGGGGGCTGCGCTCACCATCTCTGATGCCAAATGTGTGATGAGTGATAAATCCCCTCCACACGCTGCTACACCCCACAGAAATAACCTGCTTCCTTCCCTGGTCAGTCCAGACCCGCTGCCAGCACAGAGCTCTCTTCTCCCCGTTCACCAGGTGCTGGGTCAGTGGGCACTGGTCCTTTCTCTCTCTTAATCCCCATTTGTCAGGAACCAGATCAATGGGCATTGGTCTGCTCTCTCCATTCACCTGGGGCTGGGTCATGGAAACCATGCCCCCTTCATCCCTATCCACCAGGGGCCGGGTGAGCAGGTACCTCCCCTCATCCCCATTCACCTGGGGCTAGGTGGTGGGGACCAGCTCCTTCTCTGTTTCTTAGGTCCAGTAATCTGGTGCAGTGAGTCACTGGGAGAGCTCAATCTTTAATACAATAGGAAGAAGGGATACAAACACATAGAGTGAGGCCCAGGAGGGGTCTCAGGGGACACACTCACCCTCCTAAGAGCACATGTTCTATCTCTCTGCTGAGCCTCCTTCTTCCAGGGTCCTTATTGGCCTCACACATGGCCGTGACAGATGGACACCATGCCTCCTGAGCCTGAGTCAACATCAGGCTGCACGTGGTCCTTCGTGATCTGGTCAGCCCCCACCCCACTCATTGGCCTCAGGTGTGGTTGTCTCTCAGGAACCAGAACCAAAGGCCAAAATGCAAGGGGTCCACAGCTCACAGCACAGGAGGAGCCTGGAGTCCAGCAGTAGCTTTAATGAGGGGCTTCTAGACAGGTTCAAGCTTCCCCTGCCATGTTGTGGGAGAGGCACAGACCCACACACTGGGCGATGGGGGCCTGGTAACACCATACTGCCTGCTCCACAGGACGGAACGAGTGTCAGGAGATCCTGAATGTCTGTAGCCATGGCAGCTGCGTGGAAACAGAGGGCAGCTATGCATGCCTGTGTCACCGTGGCTTCCGGGCCTCAGTGGACCAGACCATGTGCATGGGTGAGCACCTTCTAGCTCCCTCCTCTCAGGCTGGGCACCCAGGGGGAGGGGCCTGGGGCACGCACTTCCCTGGGTGGGGGAGAATATTTCCATCATTCCAGTGAGCAGACAGATTGAGTCCTGGTGCTGAGACTTAGGGTATAAACAGCTAGTTTGTCTCCCTGTACCTCAGTTTCCCATCTGTAAAATGGAAATCATTACCCATGTATGTGGATGGGGCTAGATGCAGGGATGTGGACGGGATCCAGGTGGCCCCTGGCTCCCTGAGCCCTACCCCTGATGCTTTTGGTGGGCTGAGCGGGGGATTGGGGGCTTTGCTTGGATAGACATTGACGAGTGTGAGCAGCAGCCATGTGCAAATGGGACCTGCAAGAACAGCGTCGGCTCCTACAACTGCCTCTGCTTTCCTGGCTTCGCGGCAACGCACCATGGGGATTGCTTGGGTGAGCCAGCTGGCCTGGCAGTCAGGCCTCAGTGGTCCCCACTGGGAAATGGGTCCATGGCACTGCTTGGTGATCAGGGCTCTCACCCCAGGTTTCCCATCAGAATAACCACAAGGTGCTAGGCTTCCCTCTGAAAAATGAGTCAGCCACAAAGTCCTTCTCACACCTTTAGCTGCCAGGGGCTAACAAGGTGATGGGGAGGGCATCACCAGGGTTTACACTGTGAGGTTGGGGTGGTAATGACAGTGCAGAGAGGGGAGACAGCAAAATGAAGCAAGACCTTAGTGATGTGACACTGCAGTTTAGCACAGTTGTTAAAAGCACGGACTCTGAGTCAGACAGCAGCAGTTCAAATCCCAGCTTTGCCACCTACCAACTGTGTGACCCTAAAAAAAGTCAATTAACCTTTTGGCTCCTCACTGTCCTCATCTGTAAAAAGAGTTAATATACAACCCATCCTATATTAAAGTGCTCGGGTGCTAACTGAAGGGTTGACGGTTTGAAGCAACCAGGCACTCTCAGGGTGAAAGATACAGCTGTCTGTTTTCTTAAAGAGTTACGGCCTTGGAAACCCTGCGAGGCAGTTCTGCTCTGTTCCTTGGGCTGCTGTGAGTGGGGTTCACCTTGATGACAGTGAGTTTTGATTCTCCTGTATTGAGGGCAGTGATGGTGGTTCAGTGGTAGAATTCTCACCTTTCATGCAGGAGACCCAGTTTTGACTCCCAGCAGGTCCCCCCAGGCTCAACCCTCTCACCTGTCTATCAGTGGAGGCCTGTGTGTTATAGTGCTGAACAGGTTACAATGGAGCTTCCAGATTAGTACAGACTGGGGAGAATGGTCTGGTGGTTGACTTCCAAAACTCAGCCAAAAAGAAAAAAAAAAAAATCTGTGTAGTCCAACAGTCCAGTATGCAGCCAATCATGAGGACAGTGCAGGACCAGGTAACACAACCCTTTGTGCATGGGGTCTCTGAGTCGGGGACTGGCTTGATGGCAGCTGTCAACAACAACCATATATTAATAGAAGACCAAGTACACTTCTGAAAAAGAAATGTTACCAGGGATGAAAAGAGAGATCATATAATGACTGAGGGGTCAATTCCCTAAGAAGACAACAGTCATCAAACAATACATCTAACAAAAGAGCTTTGAAATAGATGAAGGAAAAACTAACAGAAATGGTAAGAGCAATAGAAAGATCCACAATTATAGCTGAAGCATTCAATGCTCTTGTCTCAGTAATAGAACAAGTAGAAAGAACATCAGTAAGGACATAGAAGATCTGAACAACACTTTTAACCACCTAGACCCCACTGCTATTTGTAGAACATTCCACCCAACAGCAGCAGAATATATATTCTTGTCATATGCACATGGAAAGCCCCCAAAAAGAGCATATTCCAGGCCAGAAAACAGACCTTAATAAATTTAAAAGAATTGAAGTTAATCATCAGAAGATATCCAGAAATCCCCCCAACTATTTAGAAATTAAACCAGTTGCCATCAAGTCAGCTCCAACTTGTAGTGACCTCATGTGGGTCAGAATACATCTATGTTCCACAGATTTCCAGTAGCTGATGTTTAGGGAGTAGATGCCCAGGCCTTTCTTCTGAGCTGCCTCTGAGTGGGCTTGAACTTCCAAACTTTCAGTAGCTGTGTACATTAACTGCACCATGCAGGGACTCTGGAAATTAGACAACATACTTCTTGAAAAAAAAAAAAAAAAACTTCTAAATAACCCATAAGGCAAAGAAGAAATCATAAGGGAAATTAGAAAATATTTTTAATTAAGTGAAAATAAAAATACAACATATGAAAATGTATGGGGTGCAGCTATGAGAGTACTTAGAGGCAAATTCAAAGCATCAAATGTTTATATTGGAATATATCAATACTAAGTCAGTTGGAAAGCTAAATGAGATAATGCACAGAGCCTAGCACATGAGTGCTCAGTCCACTCAGGCTGTGGATGACCTCAGACTGCCGACCTCCCGTTTTGCAGATGTGGATGAGTGCACCACCCTGGCAGGGCAGATATGCCGATTTGGCCAGTGTCTCAACACAGCCGGCTCCTTCCACTGCCTCTGCCAGGATGGCTTTGAACTTACATCCGATGGGAAAAACTGCATGGGTGAGTCTCTGCATGGTGCTGGGAGCCATCCCCCTCAGCCCCTGCTCCAGTTTGATCTGTGACTGGTGCTTCCAAGTGAATGTGATTTGGTTTAAGAACCATCCATTTATTTGAAGGTGTAAGAGGAAACAAAGTCAGCCCATCACACCCATGTTTTCATGGGTTTTGTGGCATAAAGTGAAGCCATCTTGAGATGGCATCTAGAGAAAGGAGTAGTTGATGTGCTAAGTAGACACCGGGGAAGCTGGGAAAGTGTCTGTAAGTGGCTTGAGATTAAGAACTTTGCTCCCTTTTCTCCCTGGACACTACTTGTCTCCACTTACAACTCCCAAAGGTCCAGATAATTCTTCACCAGGTATCCCTGCTTTCCTAGGTCTCAGCCCTTCCCCTGGAATCAGAGCTGTCTCTGAGAGGGCTTGTCTTAGCACTCTCAGCCATTACATGACGCCTACAGATGCTGGTCACAGCCCTAGATCCCCTGCCCCCTGGATGACACTGGGACTGCCTGCTTCTCCTTCACAGACATCAACGAGTGTCACAGCCTGGTGGGAACCTGCCTGCCAGGAACTTGCCAGAACCTAGAGGGTTCCTTCCGCTGCATCTGTCCCCCCGGCTTCCAAGTGCAAAGTGACCACTGTATTGGTGAGTGTCTCTGAGGCCAGGAAGGTGCCTCTGAGCCTCCATTTCACCGTCTATAAAATGGTAGTACCAGCTGGACCACAGTGAGGGTGGAGATGCACTCAGCACAGCACCAAGACATAGCTCCATGTGCTATTTTATTGCCTTTATGATAACTTTTGGACTCCCAGCTCAGTGCTCTCTCTCCAAGGCCACAGATGTCCTGTGCACCCTGTAAAACAGGCGTGGGTATGGGGTCTCACCTTACCTCCAAGCACCCAAACGTAGAACTCCTCACTCTGTCAATGTCATCGAGGTTTGGAGAGATTCAGTCAAGAGAAGCATTTCCCTCACTCCCAGCTGCACGACCTTAGATCAGCCCAAGCCTCAGTTTACTCCTCTGTACAATGGGGAAGCTGCAAACAGGTTGAAGATGACACAAATCAGCATGAGGTGGCACACCCCAGGGTGCAGTACACGAGAAGTGCTCAGTCATTGTGTGCTCAGTCATTATGTGATCACTTGTCACAGAACTGATGGTTAGAGCAGCTTCTAGGGAGACCTGAGTCTTTGGAAAACATCTACACAGAGCAAACTACCCCCTTTCTTCTCAGCCTTTGAGGTTCTCTCATGATCTGGTTAAGGTTTGTGGGTAGAAGATAGTGGAGAGGCACAAGTGTCATGGGGACTCCTGCAGGGTCCTGGCCAAGGGCTAGCCCATCATCTTTGCAGAGCCAGGCTCACTTACCAGAGAGGGATCACATTGACAGACCCAACACAGCCTTTCTCCCAGACTAGTCTTGTACACATCAGGCAGGCTAGCCCAGCCTGATCTGGGCTGTTCTCCAGTATAGGCAACAGCATTCATCTGGGCTAGCCTTGTGCAGCCTGGGCTATCCTAGACCAGTCTGGCCTGTCCTCTTCTGATCCAATCTTCCATCTGGACTTGCCTCTTACAATCTGAGCTAACCTGGACCAGTCTGACTTAACTTCCTATGATCCAATCTTTCATCTGCCTTGTATAACCTGGGCTAGAGTTATCTGGACTGACCTCATCCATTTTATTCTTTGATCTGGGGTAGCCTTGCACAGTCTGGGCTAACCTGGACCAGTCTGGCCCTGCCCTCCTCAGTCTAATCCATCTGGGCTAGCCTAGTGCAGTCTGGGCTAACCTTGTTCAACACAGGCTACATTTATCCAGCCTCAGTCAGCTTAGTTTCTAAAGATGAACTTTTCCTGACCATGGCCCCAGATCCTGGAGGCACCTTCTAGGAAAGAACCCCTACATTGCCGCCCCTAGTGCTCTGGCTCTAGGGACTCCTGCCTGGCTTCAACTCCTGGGCCCCCCAGGCTGGGTTCCCTATGTCAGAGGCCCTGCTCTTCCTGCTGAGGAGGCCATAGGCCCCACCCAGCTCCTGTCCCTACCCCTGCAGACATCAACGAGTGCTCAGAGGAGCCCACCCTCTGCCTCTTTGGCACCTGCACTAACAGTCCTGGGAGCTTCCAATGCCTCTGCCCGGCTGGCTTTGTCCTGTCTGACAACAGGCACCGTTGCTTTGGTGAGTCTGGGGTCCAGGGTGCTCACAGGGTTTGGGGAAAAGGGTGGGGGGTGGGCAGGAAGTCAGGTCACCCAGAAAAGGAGGCTGAGGTGTTTTGTCTGTAACTCCAGAATCCAACAAGGGAGCAATGTTTCTCTGCATTGGTGGTTCAGATAGTTAATGTGCTCGACTGGTAACCAAAAAGCTGGCTGTTTGAACTCACCCAGAGGCAGGGCTGATGGCGGCAGGATCCAGGTAAGGGGAGGGAGAAGGCCCACACCCAAGACAGGAAGACGGGCAAAGCCAGGGCTGGTGGTGGCAGGGTCCAGGTAAGGGAAGGGCAGAGAGGTTTCAAACAGCTAAGGGAGACAAACTTGTCTGTCAGTTTGTTGTACTGTGGTGACTTGCATGTTGCTGTGAAGCTGTGCCAGTGGTATTTCAAACACCAGCAGGGTTGCACATGGTGCATAGGTTTCAGCACAGCTTACAGACTGAGACAGATTCAGAAGGAAAAGGCCATCCACTTCTCAAAGGATTGGCCAGGGAAAATCTTATGAATAGCAGAGAAACACTGTCTGATATTTTACTGGACAACTTTATGAATAGCCCAGAAACACTGTCCAATACAGTGCAGGAAGATGAGCCCCTTAGGTCGGAAGGAATTCAAATTGCGACTGGGAAAAAGCTGCCTCATCAGAGTAGAACCAACCTTACCGATAAGGATGAAGTAAAGCTTTTGGGACCTCCATTTGATGATGTGGCACAACTCAAAATAGGAAGAAAAAAAAAAAACAGCTGCAAATATCCATTAATAATCAGAACATGGAATTATGAAGTATGAATCTAGGAAAATTGGAAATTGTCAAAAATGAAATGGAACACATAAACATTGATATCCTAGGCATTATTAGTGAGCTGAAACAGACTGGTTTTGGCCATTTTGAATCAGACAGATCTACTATGCTGAGAATGATAATTTGAAGAGGAATGACATGGCATTCATCATCACAAAGGATGTCTCAAGATCTGTCCTGAAGTATAATGCTGTCAGTGAGAGGATAATACTCATACCCCTACAAGGAGGGCCAGTTAATACGACTATTACTCAAATTTATGTACCAACCACCAAAGCCAAAGATGAGGAAATTGAAGATTTGTATCAACTTCTGCAGTCTGAAATTGACTGAACATGCAATCAGGATGTGTTAATTATCACTGATGAATGGAATGCAAAAGTTGGAAACAAACAAGACTCACCAGTAGTTGGAAAATTTGGCCTTGGTGACAGCTGGAGATCACATGATAGAATTTTGCAAGACTAACGACTTATTCATTGCAAATACCTTTTTTCAACAACACAAATGGCAACTATACATGTGGACTTTGCCAGATGGAGTACACAGGAATAAGATTGACTACATTTGTGGCAAGAGGCGACAGAGAAGCTCAATATCTTCAGCCAAAACCAGGCCAGGAGCTGATTGTGGAACAGACCATCAAATAAATGCTCATAAGCAAGTTCAACTGGAAGCTGAAGACAATTAAAACAAGTCTACGAGAGCCAAAATATGACCTTGAATATATCCGTTGTGGATTTAGAGACCATTTAAAGAATAGATTTGATGCATTGAACACCAATGACCAAAAACCAGAGGAATTGTGAGGTGGCATCAAGAACATCATCCATAAAGTAAACCGTCATTAAAAAAACAGGAAAGGAAAAAAAAGACCAAAATGGATGTCAGAAGAGACTCTGAAACTTGCCCTTGAAGAGAAAGTAGCTAAAGCAAATGGAGGAAATGATGAGATAAAGAGCCGAACAGAAGATTTTAAAGAGTAGCATGAAAAGACAAAATCAATTATTATAATGAAATGTGCAAAGACCTAGAGTTAGAAAACCAAAAGGGAAGAACATGCTCAGCATTTCTCAAGCTGCAAGAACTGAAGAGAAAATTAAAGCCTCGAGTTGCAATATTAAAAGATTCCATGGGCAAAATATTAATGATGCAGGAAACGTAAAAAGAAGATGGAAAGAATATACAGAGTCACTGCACCAAAAAGAATTGGTTGATGTTCATCCATTTCAGGAGGTAGCATATGGTCCAGAACCAATGGTATTGAAGGAAGAAGTCGAAGCTGCACTGAAGGAACTGGCGAAGAACAAGGCTCCCGGAATTGACGAAATACCCATTGAGATGTTTCAACAAATGGATGCCCCACTGGAGGCACTCATTCGGCTGTGCCAAGGGATTTGGAAGACAGCTACCTGTCCAACTGACTGGAAGAGATCCATATTTGTACCTATTCCAAAGAAAGGTGATCCCACAGAATGTGGGAATTATCAAACAATATCATTAATATCACATGTAAGTAAAATCTTATTGAAGATAATTCAAAAACATTCACAGCAGTATGTTGATAGAGGGCTTCCAGAAATGCAAGCTGAATTCAGAAGAGGACATGGAACGAGGGATATCATTGCTGATGTCGGATGGATTTTGGCTCAAAGCAAAGAATACCAGAAAGATGTTTACTTGTTTTATTGACTATGCCAAAGCATTCGATTGTGTGGATCATAACAAATTATGGATAACATTGAGAAGAATGGGAATTCCAGAGCACTTAATTGTACTCATGAGGAACCTGTAGTTTAAACAGAGCAAGGGAATACTGCATGGTTTAAAATCAAGAAGGAAGTGCATCAGGGTTGTATCCTTTTACCATACTTATTCAATTTGTATGCTGAGCAAATAATCCAAGAAACTGGACTATATGAAGAAGAGCGTGGCATTAGGATTGGCAGAGAATCATTAACAGCCTGTGATAGGCTGATGACACAACTTTGCTTGCTGAAAGTGAGGATGACTTGAGGCACTTACTGATGAAGATCGAAGACTACAGTCTGCAGTATAGATTACACCTCAATATAAATAAAACAAAAATCCTCACAACTGGACCTATAAGCAGCATCACAATAGATGGAGAAAAGATTGAAGTTGTCAAAGACTTCATATTACTTGGTTTAACAATTGAAACCAATGGAAGCAGCAGTCAGGACATGAGACAATGTATAACACTGGGCAAATCGGCTGCAAAAGACCTCTTTCAAGTGCTGAAGAGCAAAGATGTCTCCTTGAGGAC